TTCACAGCGTTTCTGGCAACATTTCCAAGCCTACTTATCTGAGGCTTGCAAATGCTAGCATCTTTAAAGCATGATAACGTATCTTGCCTGCAGCACCCAGCCAGCAATCTTCTTACCAATACTCTCAGTTAGCAGCAACACTAAGCTGTCAGCGTGGAGAAGCACCACGCTGAGAGAAAGGGTGTGCTTTCCAACGTTGAGACTAACAAGAGCAGGCAGCCGGACGAGGAGAGGAGGAGGGAAGGAAGCAGAAGAAAATAAGGAAAGGACAAAAGGAGAAGGCGAGGATGGAAGAAATGCTGGAAAGATAAAGTCAGACGGACGTTCCCCTGAACAGACATGACTTTATGACAGCACAGAAACTCAGCATCAAGTCCTCAAGAATTGGTGAGTTTTCTGGGCTCTTTAAAATCACATTTCCCCAACACTCTGCTGCTCCCAGCCCAACCCTGACTGTACACATAACAAGAACAGCTGACCTTTGGCCAAACTGCTAGGTGGGCTGGTTTATGACCTATGTTTAACCGAGGGGCTGACATCTTTATGCACCTTCCCTGTAGTTACAGAAATGGTGTGATGATAAATTGCCAATGAGAGGACTAATCAAGCTGAAATAGATGCAAATCTGCTGCACTTCCGACCTCCGCGCGTCACTTCTTTCTGACTTATGTGCAACACTTGTGCTGGTGGTTACTCTGGCAATCACCAGCACAAGCATTTTGTGATCCTCATCCATATCACTGGCTTGTTTTGATTGTCACACGGCATGAGAGGTTGACGTAGTTGTCATTTTGTTGACAATAAAGCTCCCGAGTGAAATTAAACAGCCTTATGCTCACATGGATACGCTTATGCACTCACTGCAGTAAAAAGACCATCAGATATTTAAAGTCTTATTGAACAATAGAAAATTATGAGCAAAACAAATGCGTTGCAAACTCTAATGATAATCATAACATATGTTTAATATCTGTTTTTTTCATCTTGGCTCATGTAAATCATGAAGTTTAGCCGTGTAAATATTGTCATCGGCCAGAAGGATGGCACGCTCTCTGTTCGCTCAGCCAGAGTCGTGCACGCATTCTGCTGCGTCTTCTCTTTTTCTTTCTTTTTTTGCAGAACAAACCATAGAGCGTGCACACACATGCACGCACACACACACACGCACAGCTGTGGCCAAGCGCTTGTTCTGTTTCTGCTCTATTGTTCGACATCTTGTAAATTTCCACCAGGAGGATGATGGGAAATAATCCGAGAGGAATTTTTGTTGTACTCTTGCAAATATTGACCCTGCAGCATCTCCAGTCTTACAATCTATGATTAAACCTCTGAGTTTTGACACACCGTCTTCAGGCTTAAGTTTTCTCCAAGTCTTTTCAAAGTCTTCCAGTCTGTGGCGCCCATAAATGCATAAATTATAGTTTGCCTCCTCATCACATTCACTGAATCATTCACAAATCTGAGCAGGTTACCTGGGGATCTGATCATTCCTGACACCAAAGGTGCTCCCGCGGGAGCCCCCTGCCCTCTGCTAGCAGGTGCAGTTTATCCCAATTACCCTTGCCACACCTGTACCCCTTATGTCTTTCTCCTCCTCGCACACACACACCCTCCTAATGTACACCGCAGGGATGGCAGGTTCAGGTGTGGCGCTCAAGTAAAGCAGGGCTGTTGCCGCAGGCGATCTAAGCTCCACCAACTGTGTCTATCCGCTGCTGAAACCTCTTCAGATTCGGGCAGAGCAGACGGGGTCAAAGCAGGATTCTCCTCAGAACACCGCTCATGAATTTATAATGTGTATAAAAATAAAAACGATGAGTGCATTTTTATTTTATGGAAGCAAACTTTGCTCTGCTGTACTTAGTCGTATTTAGATGCTAACACAGCCACGGCACAGCACCCACTCCCACCGTGTGCACCAGCGTCCGGGGTGGGATTCTGCTTCGTGATTATGGATTGTCCGGTAAACGGATGGACACTCGCATCTTCAGCTCAAACCCCATCGTGGTTTGGCTTGTTTTCAAAGCAGTATCACATATTTACGTTTCATATTTAAAACTAAATCTTGCTACCTGCAATTCATAACAAAACCAGCATCAGTTGTAGTACTAATGACTGCACAAGCCAGCAAGTCTCTAATGCCAAATAATCCTTGCTTCCACGGCTTAACACGATATGGTCGCAATCAACAGCCTGGAATACTGTCCCAAATAAAAATGTGATGCATGACAGGCCTAATTCCCAGGATAAGTAGTTCAGCTCCAGAAACTAGCAGCCTGAGCAGGGATTCCCACATGGATTCAGGTCAAGACCAACACCAAACAGCAGCTCGCATACATTTCTGGACAGCAATGTGTTACCTTTTTTTGGAGGGGACAAAAACACACAGAAACGCTCCTGTCGAAACAGCTCTGTGTCTAATAAGTGTAAGTCATGTGTTGTATGCCAGCCTGCCCTTAAATCTAAACATGAAATAGTCCCAAAAAATAAATACATAAAAAAGAGCTCATGGACATGACTTCTCCTTTTTTCCCCCCAAAGCCAGTCAGCATGACTTTGACATGTATTTCAATAGGAAGCATGTTTTGTAACTACAGCTGTTGTCTAGTATCAGCCGGCTTATTTAGAGGGTCCTGTTTCCCTGGCAACTAAGAAAGAAACCTAAAACCTAACCCATTAGCTAATCCTAATCCAGTAATTTTAGTACTTCTAAAGCCTAAACCTCAGGAGTAGTTTTTCTTGTCTAAGCATAACTCCGTTCCTTTAATTCCAAAACCCAACAATGGACTTCCTAAGGATGATTAATAAAGTACTTCAAATAACAATTGAAAATCTGTCCATATTTGTGCAGATTAAACAAATATGTAAGACTGCGTTCTTCCATTTGTGCAACATCTCTAAAATTAGAAATATCCTGTCTCAGAGTGACGCTGAAAAACTAGTTCATGCATTTATTACTTCCAGGCTGGACGACTGTAATTCATTATTATCAGGATGTCCTAAAAACTCGCTGAAAAGCCTTCAGCTGATCCAAAATGCTGCAGCAAGAGTCCTGACAGGGACTAGAAAGAGAGCAGATTTCTCCTGTTTTGGCTTCCAGTTTGGATTCAGGAGACAGACACTATCTCTACTTTCAAGATCAGGCTTCAAACTTTCCTTTTTGCTAAAGCATATAGTTAGGGCTGGACCAGGTGACCCTGAATCCTCCCTTAGTTATGCTGCAATAGGTGTAAGCTGCTGGGGGACTCCCATGATGCACTGGGTGTTTCTTCTTCACTCACTATGTGCTTATACACCTCTCAGGTTATTATTAATCTCTGGCTCTCTTCCACAGCATGTCTTTTGTCCCATCTCTCTCCCACCCCCACCAAGCAGTCGTGGCAGATGGCCGCCCGTCCCTGAGCCTGGCTCTGCTGGAGGTTTCTTCTTGTTAAAAGGGATTTTTTCCTTCCCACAGTCACCAAGTGTTAACTCATAGGGAGTTGTCTGATTGTGGGGTTTTTCTCTGTATGTATTATTGTAGGGTCTTTAACTTACAATATAAAGCACCTTGAGGTGACTGTTGTTGTGATTTGGCGCTGTGCAAATATAACTTAATTGAATTATGGGATTGTAGTTGTGCTGTCTGGTGTGAGCAGAGGAGGCTCTCTCACCAAACCCCCCAAATATGCACTTTGTTACCCTTTAAAAGAGTGAAAACATTCACATTGCGTACATGGACACAAATCAGTACATATACGACCATCATACAAAATTCCATGTGCAGGAACACAAAACAGACTGAATGCAATGACAGTTTCACGAACTGCTATATGACTCTGCTGTTTATGCACAGTATGCCGTGCAGGTTGGATGCCTGGGTTTGTTTTGGAGAACACTGAGCCCAGCTCCTGGTTCCCATTCAGAGGACATCACTCTAAAGTCATGTCACAGTTTAGTCAGGGAGCGAAGGGAGACGGAGACACGGTCAGATAAACAGCACAGAGCAGGGTACATATGATCTCAGCAGCGGCAGCAGACTGGGGAGCAGCAGGCAGCAGAGGAACCGACTGCGACCCAAAGATGTGGCACGGATGGTGGGGGATTACGTCATCGAAAAAAATGAGGACGCCTCATCCCAGCGAACCCCCTTACATCCATTACATTAAAACCTTACCGATCAGCACATCGTCTCCATCATTTTATTCACATTAAAAAATTAAAAAAAAGAATAAATACGAATGCACGGGCTGCGTCTCAGCAGCTCGTCCACGCAGGCCCCCCTCCCGTGACATTTCAGGAATGTGACATGTACACAAACGCTGCTTCACCAACAATTATTTAGCAACGATTGACCAAAAACACACAACCAGCTCTGTGGTCGCTGAATGCACCAAGCTACACGTTAAAATAAATCCACGGAGCCCGTCAAACAACACACGGGACGCAGGAACCGTGTAATAAGCGCGCACTGGTGCCTATCGCTCGATAAGAGGTGTGTGCCATATTTAAAGCCACAACATTAAATGACGCCGCGCTGGTTCCAGAGAGCTCTAACTGCTCATTAAAGGGCTTATTGTGCGCTGTCCGGTGACTGGCAGATAAACGAGCCGTTTATCTTAACACATGAAACGGATCCGGGGAGGCTGCTAACAAAGTTTCATTGATTAAATAAGCCTTTAAATGCGCACTAATGTTGCGCACATTGGATCAGCTTGTAAGCTGCGAGATATCGAATGAGCTAAGAAACAGCTAGCAAGCCACACAACCGCTGGCTTTTAAGGCTGTGGGAGAAAATGTGTATGTGCTGGGGCTTTTTATGAGATTCCACTGAACAAACACAAGCGCAGTTGCAAAACGTGCCTTTTGAAACAGCGCTCTCCCGCTGTTATTTCGCAATTCTGGCTATTTAGTGTGTGCGGGAGCAACTTGGATAAAAGTGACAGCGCTAAGCTAGCTAGCTAACCCGCGTCAGCTGGCTCCAAGAGGGGGAAAAAGCTGTGACTGAGCGTCTTTCTTACCGTCATAAACTGCTCCAGGGGCGTCCAGTTTTTAAGGAATACAATTTTTGTTATGTGAGGAAATGGTCTGTGTATACAGGGGGGGTGGGGGGGCGACAGAGCCCGAACATCCAAGATCAGTCCAGCCGCTGCCGATAAAATCCAGGCGACATCTTTATCACAGCGCTCATCAGTGGCTCAGAGTTCCGCGCTGATTCACGCACATCCATCCAGCAGAGAGGGGCCTCCTCCGGGCTCGACCATGCGACTGGCTCGGCGACGACGGATAATCCACAGGACAGGACCCCCAGCGGTAACCATTGGCTAGACGCGGGGACCAGCAGTCATTTCAGGCCGACGGAATGAGGAAAATAATCCCACGCATGCACCGAAACAAAGAGTGAACGTTTCAGGCGCGAAGAAAGCCGCACATTAAAGCCGCAAATTAGGAAAATGTTGCGTTTCTGAGTTTCCCAGCACGAGCCTGTGCGCTGTTGTCAGCACTCCCCGCTGTCTCCGCAGCTGCTTTGCCTGTCTGCCCTGCAGCACAGCAGCGGCAGCGCGGCGACGTAATTGCGCAAAGCGAACGCACAGGGGCGGGGCCACGCGTCGCACACAGGTAGAAGTGCCGCAAAATCTGACGCTTTTCACCCCGTTAAAGTCTGAACCGTGACAAAGTTACCAGAAAATTCAGTGTTCTTCGAACCCTCCGACTTTTTTTGATGAATGAAATATAAATTTGCGTAAGCGACTTTTAATTTGAATCGCATTTTCTACATCCGGCATTTTTTTAAACGTGTTGCTTAAAACGTGCTGGTGATCAAGGAGTCTCAAAAACTGACTTATCAGATATGATACACTAAAGGGTTAAGGGAGGGCGTAATAACCAAAACGTTTGTTGAAGGCAATACCATGCCATAGAGCGGGGGTGTCAAACATAAGGCCCGGGGCCAGTATCGGACTCCAGCCCGTTGGACTGCTTTGGGAAACGTGAAGGAGATACAGTTTGAACTTCTAACTGTATTTTGAAAGGTTTTGCAGCTTTTCCTAATGATAAAGACCTCCCCCATTCCTATTCACACTAACCCAGTGTAAATAAAGTGATAGTTAAATTACAGAAAAGGTCTTGTTTTTCGCAAACTAATAAAGATTTGTTTTTTATTTTTTATTTTGGTGATTTCAGATTTTTTTTTAAAAAAGTTTTCTGTCATTTAAGAAAAACTTTCTATATTATGATGACAGGACAGTCTGGACAATGAAATACCAGAGCTTTTTCTGCAATTTTGCACATTTATTTCTTACAAGTTAAGCCCAAAGAGCCATGCTGACAGATTTCTTTCATTTACTACAGCATCATTTCTTTATCATGAACAAAAACTCAGACATACTGCTGAAATTACAATTCTTTTTCCTATATTAAAATAGCTACAGAAAGGGGAGTTCCACTGTTCCAGCCCATTTAGATCAAAGTAGGCTTTATGTGGCTCACAGAGTAAAATGACTTTGAATGGTCCTCAGTTTCTTTTCAGCTAGTGTAACATTAAAGGGTCAGCTTGTTTGCCAGTTAACCAGAAGTTGGCCTCATGGTTAACAGCTTCAGCGAAGAACTGAAGCTGTCTACCATGTCTGTTAATAGATTGATGGAAATTGGTGTGAGACACGTCAACTTTTGTGCATCTCATACATGTTTCCTGTATATTATCTTTAACCATTTTTCTTTCATCTACTTCATATTAATGTGTTTAAAAGTACAATAAGTTTGACCGCGTTTTACCAAACTCAATACTGACAGAAGTGTACTCTCTACAATTAGTTTCAGCTGTGACGTTTCCATGGACACAGTAAAAATGGACAAAGCTCTGGTTTTTTTAGTGTTTATTGAACCTTTTGACAAATAAAAAAAAATCAATATTAATTTCCATAAATGAGTTTTATTATGTATCATATCTGCTACCAGCTTTTATTTTCCAGTTTATTACTTGAAACCATAAAGTGCAATTAATTTATGTTTATCCGAGGGGAAAAACCACACAGATGATGTAGAAATCTCAAAACATACAAAAACTCACATATCAAATGTGATACAGTGGTAATGTCGGGCAAAAACCTCCGCTGTCATTGACATAAGGAGATGACACGTAATAATGTTTATCATAGAATGTTGGGAATAAAGTAACATGTGTCGAATATGTTTCTGAAGTTTAAGTTTTTCTTAATTGTAACTGCAGAATAAGTTGTTATAATGACGACTCCTGAACGCTTGGCCCTATAACAGAACAATCAGCATTTTACGTAGCGGCAAATCACACTAAAAGTCACCTCAAGGCCCTTTGCATTGTAAGGTAAAGACCCTACAATAATACAAAGAAAAGCCCAACAGTCAGATGACCCCGCTATGAGTGGGCAGCTGGCGACAGTGGGAAGGAAAAACTCCCTTTTATCAGGAAGAAACGTCTGGCAGAACCAGGCTCAGAGAGGGGGACAGGACATACACACACACACACACACACAAAAAAACATAAAAAAATAAAAAAAAAAATATAAATATATATAATATATATATATATATATATATATATATATATATATATATATACACACATATACATATACATATACATATATATATATACATATATATATACATGATATACATACATATATACATATATATATAATATATAATATATATATATATATATATATATATATATATATATATATATATATATATATATATATATATATATATATATATATATATATATATGTAGCTGGATAGCGTAGTGGTTAGACTACACGCCTTTGGAGCAGAGGATCGCAAGTTCGATTCCTGCCTGGGGCGTCTGTATCCAGTAAGGGTCCTAAGGCTAGACCCCCTATGCTAAGCGAGCCTACCGCAGACATGAGCGAGACAGATAAATATGAAGGCATGCCGGCTCGGACGTCGCCCGGATCAACAAGGTCCGCGTCAGGTGTTGAGGAACCAGGGCACCCTGACGAAAAGTGGGCTACTGGAACAAGAAGGCATCGGTGGGCAAGAGACGAAAACAGGGCGTTGTTGGAATGCTACTACGCAAGTAACCCCGGCGGAAGGGGCTACATGAATAGGATGACGGACCTATGGATTCTTCGATACCCAACATCCACAATGACGGCGAAACAACTAGTAGCTCAAAATGGTGGTGGCTAACCAACCGGACATAGTGGTGGTAGACAAACAGAAGAAGACGGCCGTAGTGATCGATGTAGCGGTTCCGAATGACAGCAATATCAGGAAGAAGGAACACGAGAAGCTGGAGAAATACCAAGGGCTCAGAGAAGAGCTCGAGAGGATGTGGAGGGTGAAGGTAACGGTGGTCCCCGTGGTAATCGGAGCACTAGGTGCGGTGACTCCCAAGCTAGGCGAGTGGCTCCAGCAGATCCCGGGAATAACATCGGAGATCTCTGTCCAGAAGAGCGCAGTCCTGGGAACAGCTAAGATACTGCGCAGGACCCTCAAGCTCCCAGGCCTCTGGTAGAGGACCCGAGCTTGAAGGATAAACCGCCCGCAGGGGCGTGCTGGGTGTTTTTTTTTTTTTTTATATATATATATATATATATATATATATATATATATATATATATATATATATATTATATATATGACTTTAGGGGTGCATACCTGAAATGCATTTGATGTCTCTATTTTTCTGTATACATACTGATAAACTGCACCAGGAGTAAGTGCCCGACCCCTGAACTTGCACACAAACACAAACAAAGCTTTTCCACCTTCCATGTTTGCTCTGCAGGGAGCTCTGTATCTCTCTGCTGGAGACAAAAAGCTGTGCTTTTCAGAATAAAAGTAAATGTTCTCTTTCATTTCAAATCCAAGGCTGCCCATTCATCAATTCATCAATCTGTTTCCCATCCTTTGTTTCTAAAAGACAGTAGGTTGGTAATCTGGGTTATACCGCCCTCAAGTGGTTAGCAAAAGAAACAAGCCACGCTGTGGCAAACAATGGACCATTGTTGGGATAATTCTGTGGGGAACACAATGAGGTAAGCTGATGAAGCGCAGTAGTAAGAAGAAGACAATGACCCCAGTGTTGTTGATCTGCATAATTCAAAAGCTGCTTTGTAGCTGATGGAGTGGAGCAGAATTGTCAAAGCTTCTTGTCTTGTTTTCAGTACTCCCCTGCTTTCTTTTGAACTTCATCATTTTTCCAGCATAGTATGAACTGATGGCACTTCTGTGTCTCTGAAGGACAGCGATGTTAAAAAACAACAACAAATCTGTCTGCACATCTATCTACAACACGATTAATTGCATGCTTCTATATTTAGCTCAGTCCATGGGGCATAAGATTGGAAGTGTAATTAAAACGTTATATGTGAACCTTGTTAATATGCAGACAGATGACCTGAGGGAATCTGAGTGAGCATGTGATGAGTCCTGAGTCACCGTAAGCTGTGTTAAGATTATTATCACCAAACAGTTTAGTTGCGCAAATTGTGGATGCTTACAGTAGCCCTCTCTTTAAAGCCATTAGGAGTTATTTATTCTGAACTGGGAGGTGTAATTGTCCCCTTACAGGTTTAAGGATCTCTGTGTACAATCAATGCTTTTATGTGGCGGTGAAGCATTCCTGTTGATTAAGAGGTCACTGAATGGTTTGATGAGAATGACTCATGTCAGGTTTTATGCATTATGTGGCTTTTGCAGTCAGCTTTGGCAGATTTTGGACTCTCCATCTTTATCATCGTGACATTAAATCAGGTGTTTTCTTTTTGGAAGAATCCCTAAAATAGAGTTTGAGACTTTCAGATTCCATTTGAAGGCACAAAGGCAGCAGCAGATGGTGACCCTTCTTCTTCTCCTTTCAGCTGCTCCATCACCCTATCTCAGCAACCTCCTCCACCATACCTATGCATGAACCTCTGGCATCGTCTCGCTCTTTCTCCTGCCTCCATCTTCAGCATCCTTTGCCCGGTGTATCCACTCTCCCTCCTCTGCACCATCTCAACCTTGCATCTCTAATTGTGTCTCCAAAACACTGAACTTGATCTGATTTATGTCTTTCTAATCTTGTCCAGCATCTTCAGCTCGGCCTCCTGTCTTTTTGTCCCTGCCACACATCACAGCAGGTCTCAGTAACACCTCGTAAACCTTCCCTTTCACTCCCACTGCTCTCCACCTGTCACAGTTCACCTCTGACACTCGTCTCCACCCACTTGACATATTTTTTACTTTTAAGACATTTTCAAGAATTTCAATTTTCACATTGTTACCAGTTTTCCTCTCATTCACACTCGCATGTATTCTGTCTTCCTTCTCCGGACTCTCACTCCTCTTCTCTCCAGGGCAAACCTCCACCTCTCCAGGCTCTCTTTCACCTGCTCTGTACTCTCGCTACAGAAGCAGGTGGCGAGCCAACACTTTAATGACATCCCCTTTTCCAGTGAGATGCTGGGAGCTTCTAATCTGAAACAGACTCCATGCATTTCTAAGGAAAAAAACTGCTTTGCCTAAAATTGGAATCACCGGCCAGAGGAGAGCAGACAGCAAGAGAATCGGCAGTGATTGCTCAGAGGTTT